CATACCACGCTCACACCACACACCAGCATCTCATACCACGCTCACACCACACACCAGCATCTCATACCACGCTCACACCACACACCAGCATCTCACCGCCATGCTCACACCACACACCAGCATCTCATACCACGCTCACACCACACACCAGCATGTCACCGCCATGCTCACACCACACACCAGCATGTCACCGCCACGCTCACACGCCGCACCCCATTTTGGGGCCCGGACGTGTTAGGGAACTCAGATTCTGGACTCAGCCCCCTGGGTTGGCTGGTAACTCACATCCCACTAGTGGAGGTGTATTTTTCCTGTCCTCACCATGTAGAACATTGCATTTTTTTGGTAAAAGTGTAATCTTGTTATTATTAAGATGGTGTACAGAGGAGTCTTGGGATGTAGTTCGGGTTGGCCTCAAACTTGGGCTCAGATTCTCAAGTGCTGGGATTATAGACATGTGCTACCACACCCACCTAAAGAAACAGTGATGCTGCTTTTCACCAGGTGCTGAGGATGAAACACAAGGCCTATGCATGCAATGATCTACACTCTCAACTTAGCAGTAAACCTTAAAAAAGTACCTCAATCTAGTAGCCAAAATAACATCGTGTAATTATTTTAGTTTCTCTGAGAAAAATTTTCCATGCATATTGGTTACATGCACCTTTTTCAGCCCTGCCGGCTCACCTCCTCTGCTTCTTCCTTTGGACCTTCTGAGCCAGGCAGGTATTGAGGCTGGGCACCCCTGTCCCACATGTCTAGTTTTGCTTGTTTTGATCCTCTGACTTAAAACTCAAATCCTGTTATTACTTATTGATTTGTTGGTTGTAGGGCTTGAACTCTGGGCCTGGGCGCTGTCCCTCAGCTCTTCAGCTCAAGGCTAGCGCTCTACCACTTGAGCCACAGTGCCACTTCCAGTTTTCTAGTGGTTTACAAGATAAGAGTCTCATGGAGTTTCCTGCCTGGGCTGAATTTGAACTGTGATCCTCAGATCTCAGCCTCCTTAGTAGCGTGAGCCTGGCTCAAACCCTGTTATTAAGAGTGGCATCTCCCCCACATCAGGCATCTTCTGTCCCTACACACTTCATACCTGGGAGGCTGAGACTTTCCCATGGGGCCCAGTAGACTCTTCCCGCCTCCTTCCTGTCCCCCTCTCTCTTTTTGTGCTGGTCCAGGGGCATGAAGTCAGGGCCTGGGCGCTGTCTCTAAGCTTTTGTGCTCAAGGCTAGTTCTCTCTCACTTGAAACACAGCTCCATTTTGGCTTATTAGTGCTTACCTGGAGATAAAAGTGTCATGGAGCTGGGGACCAGTAATCTTAGCTATTCAGGAGGCTGAGATCTGAGGATCAAGGTTTGAAGCCAGCCCGGGCAGAAAAGTCCTCATAATACTTTTTTTTTTTTTTCCAGTCGTGGGGCCTGAACTCTGGGCACTATCACTTGAGCCACAGCGCCACTTCCTGCTTTTTCTGCTTATGTGGTGCTGAGGAATCGAACCCAGGGCCTCAGGTATGCAAGGCCAGCGCTCTACCACTGAGCCGCCTCCCCAGACCCCTCATGCGACTCTTTTCTCCAGCCAACCACTCAACAACTGGACGTGGAGCTGTGTCTCAATGTGGTGGAGCTCAGGGACAGCGCCCAGGCCACGAGTTGAAACCCCACAACCAGGTGGGCTCATGGACTGTGCCGTCGGGCCTGGCTTCCAGCTGCGGCCTCCGCAGTAGCCGGGGCTGCTGTGCCCAGCGCCACGCGTTTCTGGGCTCTCTTCAGTAAACGTGCTCACATTTGGGTTTGGGCAGACACACCTTTAGAAAGGCAGGGAAGCAACGAACCATGAGCCCGCACGGTTCAACTCCTGGCAGCCTCCTCATCCCCACGGCTCGCTTCCCGTGGTTTTCACTGCTGGAAGGGCAGTCCCGTACGCATGCGTGGACAGAGGCGCCGCCCCGAACGCATGCGTGGACAGCGGCGCCGTCCCCGTACGCATGCGTGGACAGAGGCGCCTGTCGCAGTACGCATGCGTGGACAGCGGCGCCTGTCGCAGTACGCATGCGTGGACAGAGGCGCCGTACCTGTACGCATGCGTGGCCCGCAGCAGCCTCAGCTGGCCCTCGTAGGGAAACATGTCCTCGTACTCGATGAGAAGGCCATTTGCACCGAGAGCCCGGAGCAGGGGGAAGAGCTGGGGGGCAAGAAGGGTTATGAAGTGACCGTGAGGGCCGAAGGCAGATGAGCGCGAGCGGGGGGCGAGAGCGGAGGGCGAGAGTGGGGGGCGAGCGCGGGGGGCGAGCGCGGGGCGAGCG